TCTGTGTTTGGTTTCATAGCCACGATGGCACCTACCATCACCTGGGCAATACCATACCTGCCACCCTCTTCGGATCTCCAAAACAACGAGGTTTTTCCTCAGTGGGAAATAAAATGCCAAACGCAAACCCCCATACGGAAAGGAGTGTGGCTGCAAACTCCAAAGACCCGCTCCATTCATCGATGCCTCCCTAGAGTCTACGATACACACGCCCATATAATGAAACTACTTCAGAAAAATCACCGCCCTATTCGGGACGAACTTGGGATTACAGAACATGGACGCGGGTTTCTTGCCGAGACTCATCTCAATCTGCATTTCACCATTCTATGAAATGTTAAACTCGGACCACACTGCACCATTTCAAAGACGTTGCTACCCTCACTGCACTACAAAGGTTTGCCTAAAAGGTGTACATCTCATGGGAAAACAGAAAGACAGGCCTTATTCTTCGACAAAAGGTCTTCGATCTCATTTTCAGGGCTCATCACAATGAACTTGAGCAGGTAAATACCATGCTACAATACTTTCTCGACGACCGCTCTCCTGATGAACTTGAAGAAAAGTATGGTGACTCAAGAAGAAAACCCCAGAATCTACCGACTCTTGCTGTCAGTGACCTTAGCATGAGGCCCAGGTCAGAGTGATGAAGACCTCATAGAGAATGTTTTCCCACCCAGAGGCTCAACAAGGCCGGTACAAAGAGCTCCTGTGTCGATATTTCTGTAGACCAGTGGATGACACTCCCATTGAAGGAAGGGGCCGTGTTGCCAAAGCCGAAGGTCTACAAGCTTTCTCGTCGCGATCAGCAGTTCTCCGACAAGGTCCACGATGAGCTCCACCAACAAAGGAAGATGGTGTTTGTGACCCTCAACAACGACGATGACTTCCTGCCGCCGTTCCTCATTGTCGCTTACATCAACCCACCTGTCAGCGTAATGCGAAATGGCCAGCTGACTTCAACACAAAGGGAGACATTTATTCCGATATATGATCAATGGGATACCCTATCGAGTCCTGACGGCCCTCTAGTAGGACCGTAGTAGGTAGAGAATAGGATCATCTTATCTTCCCCTAAGCTTTCAGAGTAACACCGTATCGTATTTTGAGCGTTCTGCCTCCCCTAGTCCCGTTTGTGGCGACTATTACATACTCTGCTGCATTCGCTCTTCATCCTTATCCTTGGATACTGACCAAGAAGACAAGGGGAAAGGAGCTGGGGTCCCAAGGTTTCTGTGTTGGTGAATGAGGAGATCAATGAATGGATCCGGAGGAGATACACTAGTCCTTCGTGTTGCCCCGGCTTCTGCTCATTTTCGTTTACTGCTCGAACAAAATAGCGTTATCGCTATTACCTTGACTTTGGCCAAATACTGGTTAATCCCTTCTACAAATATGTAGATCGACCTAATCATCATCATGTCCAGTAGATCGAAAGAGTGTGGGAATGGAAAAAAAAAAGCCAGAGATCAGACTTATATGTTAGACAAAGCTTGATAACCTTGGAAATTATGTGTATCTTGCCATTATAAGCGATGGCCTTTCCTCTCGAATCCAAACAATTCCCCCGTCGTGAGTAGTTCCTTATACCTCCCGAAGTCGTCTCTTGTGCATCTATATGAGTACCTCCTCTTGACCAGCAATTCTCACATCTAATCCTGCCTTATTTCCTATATTTTATCCTCCGAGCCAGTGCCTTCTCGACAACATCAAAAGACCCTTTTATTGAACCAAGCTTACCCACAAATATTTGTAACCAGATCTAAATAGACACTAAAAGAGCTCTTCTCACGCAAATCTCCAATAGTCTTTTTGCTAAAGCGCACCTAACCACGGGTGTCGCAATAGATCCTCAGCCGAAACCCGATCAGTAGGATTAATTTTCATCATCAAATGCAAAAAGGAGGCAAACTCATCTCTAACACTTTGGTTGAGACCTGGCAAGAATGCCTCCGATGCCAGCTCCGGTAGATCCATGGAAGAGTCCTTGATCCGGCCATCGTCGTCAAAGAGGTCCCGAACAAGCCCCTTATCCCCTTTTTCCAGAAGCTCCTTGGGGAACGGTCCAAACAAATCCACAATCTCCCCTAAGTGTTCCTTAAGCTCGTAATGGCCGTCTGGCGGGACCAATCCGCTAAACATACGAACCGCCTGGAACACTTCGAGCAAGACACACCCGAGGTTCCACCAATCGGTGCTCGCATTCCACGGCGCCTGGATTAGGACTTCGGCTGATCGGAGGGCCACAGGCTGGATTGTCTCGCTGAGATGTCGGTCTGCCCAGCTAGAGACGCCCCAGTCTCCAAGAGCGATATCAAATTCAGCAACGCGCGCACTGTTGGCTTCGTTGAAGTAATAGCGGCGTAAGGGTGTTGAGGGGATGACTGAGTACTGTTCCTCGGACCGATCTTGTTGGGAAATTACAACCTCAGCTAGATACCCCGACTCTATGAGGGAAAAGTCCCTAAACTTGACGAAAATGTTATCCGGTTTGATATCTATTGGTTGATAAGAAGGATATTAGCATCGCATAGCTATAACCAACAGCAATGGATAAGTGAGCATCTCATACCGGTATGAATAACGTTATGGTCATGAGCAAAATCAAGAGCGAGTAAGAGCTGAATGGTGAATCGGCGCATCACCGAGTTTGGTAGTCTGCTTTCGATGAACCAAGCGCCAAAGCTCCGTAGCGTCTCGCCCATCAGCTCAAAAACAAAGCAGACGTGAGTTCCGTTAGGTCCACAATGCTCAAAATCATCTAGGAGATGGCAGACGTGGTTGTAACCCAGCTGGGCGCGGTCCCAGTCGCGGAGATGAGTCAATATTTCTCGCTCGAAGATGGGGGCTTGCGTGCCATCATAACACTCGGCGCTGAGCACCTTCAAAGCTCGGTACTCATTTTCACTGCCTGGTCTGCTTAGGTGTTATCTCTGTTTTCGTTTCTTTTCTAAAGGAAAGTCCACTCACTGTGACTGTAGGTCTCTGACAAACCAGACTGTTGAATAAACGCCATATCCAATCTTATTGAGGACTTTATACCGGGTTTTGAATACATCACCGATATAAATAGGGTGAAATCCTCCGGGCCGATAGACCTCTGTGCCTTCTTCAATAGTCCTAGTGTTGTGCATGATGGATCAGAATGAGAATAGTTCGACTTGCGAGGTTCGTGTGAGAGCCCAGGTGAAAGGAGGGGGTTACCTAATACAGTAAGTCACCTGAACTGAAAACTAGTCCAGATATATTCTATACATAGTAATATGATATGTTCCCTCCAAGATTTTTGATTTGGTCAATTATGCGCTATTGCTTTTGTGGAGTCATCATCCCCAATATCGCTTTCTCCTCTCCTCGCAAAAAGTGACTGCGGAAGATCCCTCGGTTGGTAGTGTCGAGTACTTTGAATTCGACTTCCTGAAGGATAAACTCGGTGACTAGCTGACTGCGATGCAAAGCTGCTAGGAAACAACTTTGGAAACATCCTGTCCACGATCGGTTTGATTGCCGGGATGCTGGCAGCGATGATAGCGACAGCCAGTTCGATTCCTGACCAAATAGAAATCCCAAAAGTATCCCAGGAGGGATCTGAGCTTCTATATAAGTCCACAATGTAGACCATCCGTATGATGCTTGCTATGCATGCACTTTTGTTCAGTTAGCACTAATGCCATGTCGATTCGATAAAGATTGCTCCTGCACATACAATGAGCCCAATGATAGCAATCCAGCGACGACAAATCGTTTTCTAGTTCCAAGATGGAGACCTGCAATTGGTTAGAATAATAGCTTGAGTGGATCTGTAGTAATCACAGACCTAGAACTGTTTTTAGTGGTAGGAGAAGAATCCAAATATCCGTCACTAGAGATAGCGCGGCACCCGCATACCAAAATGGAATGGATGCAAAGCACGTATAATTTGTATATTTCTGTTCGTTGAAGACAGCATCGATCGGGGAACATTGAAAGATGGTAGCGAGCATAATTGCGATACTCATGGCCGTGACGAATGCAATCGTTCCGAGTGATATTAGTCGGATGTTGGGGAATAGGCGTAGGTATAGTAGACATATTGATATTTTGATCAGACCACTTATCAGGGTATAAATTATATGAGTCACGTATCGAACCTATATTGTCTTAGTTAGTTCTCTTCAGTTCACGTTTTCAGATTCTCCTATACCTTCGCTGCTGGCAGCATGTCTGCTTTACTGAGATCCCATTTGTGCTTTCCTGTTCCGTACCTCACTCCTATTCATAGCATAAGAGATAGGATAATCATAAAAAGAGCAGAAGACATACCAAACCCGGCAACCATCACGTTTAAAACTGCAAAAATCGTGGCTGCTACCATGGTCCAGTCGTCCAGTCCAAACTTTTTCACAATGAAGACCCTCGAAATCGTACGAAGACCCACAATGATCGCGGCAAAGCCTGTCACCGTGCAATTGATGATCAGCAACAGAGGCCCACGGTTCTCGACCTAGACAGTTAGGGAATGTCCACTGTGCTTTTGGGTGGATCTTCACTTACATCGGATCGCGGCTGAAGGAAGGTCTCCATTATGTGATGTCCGACTCAGAATGAGGAATGGTTAGGCATAAACGAACAACTATGGAAGCCACATAGTAAAGATTTTCTAAGGGACTTGGCAAAACAAAAAATTTAGGTGCCCAGATGAGTATATATTTCAAGAGCACTATCCGGCCCCAATCTCTGCGACTAGTTTAATGACGTTTTGAAAGTTCTCGCCCCCATCATATACATGGAGGTCTAGGGCCCGGCAATTGACCGAAATTAGCTTCTATATACTTCCCAGTATACTACTATGGCGTTTTCCACCTTTTTTCCCCCCAATTCCTTGACTCTTTGGGACATCAATTGCGATCTGGTTGGAATAGAGGGTATTGAGGCTTTGTTAAGATAGCCGAGGCTGGCGTGTATAGCCTAATATTAAATGTCCTGGCGTTGTTTCCGATTGCCTAGAGCGAAACCGGATCTTCTTGAGTGGAGCATAGTGGACCATGTAGGATCAAGAATGGAGTCCAATATAAGGCCGCATTAAATGGTCTTCGGTATTGAAGTCAAGTGGAGAATCATTTACAAAGTGGCGCTTGTTCACATATGTATTACAATTAAGCGAGAGAACATTCAGAATCCGGCGTAGGTATGGAAATAATTCCCTTTTCTACTCGGTAATTAAAAGATAATAGGGACAATCTCTCTGAGTTAGCGTTAATAACATTGAAACAGATAGAGTGAGGCTTAGAAAGGAAGATCCGGAGAGAAGCCCCATCCGTCTCTAGTCTCTTGGCTATACCGGACTAAGGGATACTTCCGGCCCCCATAGGATTAATATATTCTATATCGCTAGTCGCTAGTACACTGGGATCGGCCGAAAAAAGGGATGTTAATGGAAATTAGTGTGTTAACTACTTTGAATTTCTTTTTTTCCCTTGAACTTTGTCTATTGTACTTTGTACAAATTTCTCGACTTTCGAATTATCCCGATGCCTTCACTTCTTCAGAAACTCCTCCTGGGAATTCCTCTGGCATGTCTGGCTAGTAGCCATGTCACGAATTCCCTCGACTCGAACTATAAGATTGATGTTCATTCCCATGTCGTTCCACCGATTTGGAAGGAGGAATTGATCTCTGCAAACTACCCAGTCAAGAATGGCACTTTGTATACAGATGGCTTCCCTGTCCCGGATTGGACTCTGGATTCACACGTTAGCACTATGGACAGTCTTGGGCTTAATTATTCGACAATCAGCATCAGCGCCCCGGGCGTTTTCTTTCTAAAAGAGGCCCAAAAGGCCAAATCCTTAGCCCGCAGCATCAACCTGCTGCTTCATAACTACACTCAAACTCATCCCACTCGTCTTGGAGCCCTCTGTCTTCTACCACTCCCCTTTGTTGATGAGGCGGTTGAGGAGTTGAAGGTATCTTTCTCCCTAGTAGATTACTTGGTTAAAACTAACATGGGATTCGTAGTATTGTCTGGATACACTGGGCTTTGTTGGCGTGGGGTTATTCACCAACGCCAATGGGACGTATTTGGGTGATTCCGCCCTTGATCCTATCTTCTCGGCCTTGGAAGCACGCAAAGCTAGCATCTTTGTTCACCCAGCCTCTCCGGACTGCGCATCTGTCGCCATGGGCCATCCCATCCCGATGACCGAGTATCCTTTCGATACTGTACGTGCCATTGAGAACTTGCTGCTGACGGGCCAACGTGCGAAGTATCCGGATATCAAGATGATATTTGCCCACGGTGGTGGCGCAATTCCGTTCCTAGCTACCCGAATCGCCGGCATGGCTTCCCTTCCCTCGTTGGGTGGACTGTCGGTCCCTGAATCCATGGCTCAACTCGCCGGGTATTACTTCGATACCGCTGCAACGACTTCTGCGATTCAGCTGGCAGCTCTGAAGAGCTTTGTTGGTGCGGATCAGATTGTGACTGGAAGTGACTGTAAGTGTTCCCGAAACGTGCAGCTGCAGTATACTAACCCATGCAGATCCATACGTTCCTTTCGCCCAAGCAAAGCCGGCATTATCCTCGATTGAGGCTAATGGTGGCTTTACCCCCGTGGAGATGGGCAACATCAATAATCAGAATGCCTTGGCAATCTTCCCGCAGATTATCAATGCTTTGAGGCTCAAATGAGATGTATATTAGACATAGTTTGTAGATAGATTGTTAATAATATAGAACACAGAACTCTAGCAAACTATTTTAATGTCTTATGCTATATATTGAAACCGGGTTTCATACTCTAGACATTCCTTTCAATGATGCGTTAGGGTCAAGGGATAACGATATTGGTTTGGCTGTGACTATGAACATTGATATAAGATCAACCCCAAAAAGACAGATACATACAACCGCCGTCTCATTTAAGGTACCTCCACAAGGGCAGCCACTTTCCGTACAACCTGTTTGAGATCCGGACCTGAGTAGCTGAAGCCCACATCATCCCGGCCAGCAAGGCACCAAGGGTACGGACGGTATAGCCTCTTGTCTAGACAACTTATTTCAAGTGCGTACTCTGGAATCTTCCGAAAGCTCACAAACACATTAGGTTCTAACACACGATTCAGAACCAAACTGTCAAGCTGGTACAAACCTCGACCCAACTCGCGGAGAATGGATCGCCAGCCCCCAGCCTCCAGTACCACAGTAGAAAAAGTCACAGAGCGAAGAGACTTTCGGATACTGTAAAGGAAGATGCCCAAAGCAGCCGAAGAGTCGAATGACATCCGCGAGAATGTCAACTCTTGTAGTTCCGGCAGACATCCAACCGACGAAAGCTGAGAGAGAAGTGAAGTTGATTCGCACTTCCAGTTGAAAAGGATCTCTAGTTTTCTGAGAGATTTGGCACCTTGGATCATTTTCGCCATCCAATTAATAGTCTCAGTCTCGGCATCCGGGATCACAAGGCTCAGTACCCTGAGATGGGAAAAGGCCGGGATCCCAAAAGTGGCAATACCAAATTGCTCTATGTTATAGTGTTCCCATCTGTCTCTGTATTTCATGATTTCTATCAAGAAACTTTCCATCGGAATTTGCTCTGTGCATATGGCTTCGAGAATGAAACCACTAGCCCAATCAAGCGTGATGCCGTCGCTGTCTGGACACGGGGTTGTATATGTTGAATAGTATAGCTCGAAGGATCGGCAGTTCACCAGGCGTTTCATCACATCGCGCCACGATTGAACGTATGTTTCGTCTTGTGTGATATTCAAGGAGCATGGTTCCGAAGAACATTTTGAATTCCTGACGATCTCTAACTTGCGGACATAGGGGCCGTAAAATTCATTGTTGGCTACTTGCTCTAGTCGGGCAAGTGATGTTGGTGTAAGATCTGTCTTTATTGTCTGTACACAAGTTTGTGCAAAATAGCGAAGGCTGCTCTGGTACAGCGCTCGGCAGGTAAGCCGAAGAGCACAGAGACCAGGAGAGTCGGTATATTGTGCAATGTCCGCTATTAGTTCAACTGGGAGACTATGAATACCTGAGGTGTGCGCTGATTGGGTACCCATTCTAGAATGGGAAGTAGCGAACCGAAAAGTAGGGGACTTTCAAAATAAGTAATGACAAGGTATACTGTTGGGTTCGTAGCGAATGAGAGAATGAATGAGAGCTGGATGAAATAGAATCAAATAAAAGAGTAGTGGAAGATAAGTAGCGAATTGAATTGAAGCTCCCGTTTCGCTTTGGGATAGAAAGTTTCTCGATATAAAATCGTCATCAGAGGTATATCAAGGCCGCTCCCCTTTTTAGACACGAGCTATAGTTTCATTACCAAACTATGACATAGGGGAATAATAACATATAAAAGATAGAGTAAGAGACAAAAGGTTATATTAAGCCATAGAAGTAAGTTAACTGTATGAGGCCATCGATTGTCAGGGCAGGTAAACACATAAGAGCTAAACATAACCTTTTGCTATGATTTGATGCCAACATGATAATACAAAGTGATGAAAGGAAACTGAACAATTTTTTGCCCACTGTGAAAAGTCCAGTTGGTGAGGTCAAGATCCGGCTGATCCAGCAGTTGCCAGGTTTCCTCTGTAGTGCGAGTTCGGAGACAGGATATAAGCCCATCAATAAAGATAGTGAGGGGTGCCACAGGCAGAATTAATGTAAAAAGGAGATGAAGTGGTGAATCCCAGTACCAAACAAGAGTTACAAAAAAGGTATAAAAGAAGACCAAAGGTGAGCATAGGCAAGTCCAAAGATCGCGTGATGTGATTTCGAATATGCTAGCAATCAAATTAGCTTATTAAACAGATGTTATAAATGGAATGACTTACATAAAAGAGTCAGCGGACTCAATTGCATTCTTCAGAATTCCCGCTGCATCGTCATCTCCAAAGTGGTGGAAACAGATATTGAAGATCCGGCACTCTTTTCTGGATGCAAATCGAGGAACAGCTCGAGCATCTACCGGACTCTCGATGTATGTGACATTCTGCTGCTTCTTCGAAATCCGCTCCCACTCTTCAATATGGGGATAAAGGTCAGTCAAAACAAACTGAACAGGACCCTTGCCCTCAGACTCGAGTTCTTTATTAAGCTCTGATTCAAGGACTGGAGTAGGTCCGCCAGCACCAGCACATATGTCCAGAACTGTGTATAAGGAAAGATCTTTCAGGTGTTCTTTGAACACTGCGCATGCCTGTTTCGCGAGACTTCCACGGCTCCACCAGGGGACTCGGAGATTCCACAGTTGGGTGAGAACTAGTTGCTCGTGTTGGTGAAGCCAGGAGGGGCACCAGCTTTGGTCACCGATTTCCAAAAGCTGTGATCGGGGCCAAGAGAATAGTTGCATTATGTGAGTTTGAAGATATTGCTGAGAGAAGAGTTGTTTAGTGAAAGAATTCGAGATAGCAGAGATATTTCCCAGTCACGTGTCACCACTGGTGCCACTTTCCAAATAGAAACACAATTTGCACAACATCATATGTTGAGTTGATTGTTTGATATCTCTAAAGGGTTGTGTCGCCTTGAGTATTACATGTGGCTGTATCCAGGGCGGCCTCGGGAGGTACATGTTTGCCCGAAATCCACAACTTCAAACATATATCCATCCCCAGATTGACAAGTATAATTACACAACTGTCTTTGCCTGCCACAGACTACTGAATATATCATCTGCAGATGAAGTTCACAAAAGGTGGTCTCAATCAAAATTCCCACTAGTCCTAATTAGGCACGCAATCCGGGGAACATCACCTTGACATCAACAATGAAGGTTGTTATTGTCGGCGGAGGTTTAGGCGGCCTGGCTTGTGCAATCGCTTGTCGCCGTGAAGGCATTGATGTGGAAATTCTCGAGAGATCTACCGATGTCCACGAAGTTGGAGCAGGCATTCAAATCCCACCAAATGGTGCTAGGATAATGTGCGACTTTGGCCTACTTCCCCAACTACTGGAACAAGGAAGTCAGGTGCAACAAGTTCATTTCCGGAGGTACAAAGCTGGTCGTCTTCTGCGATCAATGCCATTTGGGGATGATATCACGGAGGAGTTCGGAGCGCCGTGGATGTACGTGGTTGGCCTGGTCGTGATGTTTTACAGACTCTAATCCCTTTGCAGAATTATTCATCGGGTGGACTATCATCGCATTCTTCTTGAGGAAGCAATTCGACTTGGTGCGGTCCTTCAACTCGGGGCAGAAGTTGAAGATATTTACACCGAGCAGCCAGCCGTTCTTCTCACTGACGGGAGATGCATATCGGCAGATGTTGTGATTGGTGCTGACGGTAAGTTAATAGATCCTTTTTCAGTTAGATGTTTCGAAATATATTCTGATAAAAAAAGGCCAAATGTCTACGGTCAGAAAGGCTGTTCTTGGATATCTTCATTGTCCAGTCCCCACGGGCGACATGGCCTATCGAGCAACCTTTACACGAGAGCAGTTAGAGGCTTTGGGAGATGAGAAAGTAAGTGAATTGTGTGGGGAAATTGCGGTCACAAGCTGGCTGGGACCGGCGAAACATACCATTTTCTACCCTCTCCGTGGTGGAAAGGAATTCAATCTCGTTCTCACGCGGCCTGATAACTTACCTTCGAATTCTCGCAGAGAGCAGGGAGATATCAAAGAGATGCGAGAGAGCTATGCCGACTGGGATGAAACGTACGGACACCTGGAATAATCGAAACTAATCTGCCACTAATGTCTTCCTTGGTTTTCTAGATTGCAAAAGCTGGTTTCTTGTGTGCCATCGGTATATAAATGGAAATTGACACATCTCTCCGAGCTTGAATCGTGGACCAAGGTATATCACCATGTCTATGTAATGATGAACCTGCTAACTGAGACTCACCAGGGATCTGTTGCTTTACTTGGTGATGCCTGCCATCCCACCCTACCATATCAGGCACAAGGGGCTGCGATGGCCGTTGAAGACGGAGCAGTTATTGGCAAGCTTCTTGGCCTATTACAAACCCATTATCTGGACCCTAGGAACTCTGGAAGCGATCCCTCAATATCAACGCGCTCTTCGGCTCAAGATCTCACAGCCGCTGTACTAACTCTTTACGAAAAATGCCGGAAAGCACGCACAGCCCGAAATGTTCAAGGAGCAATCATGAATCGGAAGCTTTTCCATATCGAAGATGGGTTCTTGCAGATGATCCGCGATTTTGTTTTAAGGTATGCAGGAGTTACCCGAAAGACCGATTGGACATGGCTATCTTCATTCCGACAGGGGCAAACCCTTGGTCTAGATGTGATAAAAGACTGTGAAAGGGTCTTTGAGGAGTGGAGATTGACACTTTGATTGAACAAAATATATCAATAAAAACATAATCTATATATCCCATACTCCTACATACTACAAGCCAATCAACTTATCCAAAACTCCTAAATCAATTATAGTATAGATCCAAACCTATATAACCTATATAATCTCAACCCAATCCAAAATCTAAGCCCCTTCCCTCATCCCAACCAAAATACACCCAGCCCCCATCATCGCAGCCCCCAACCACCAAAGCCCACCAACAGCCTCCTGGAAAACAATCATTCCAAACAGCGCCGTCGCCAAGAAATTCGACGCTGTATTCGTAATGGAGACCTTAACCGTGGACGGGCCGGCTGTTAGCGCGCGTGTGAAGAGTGCCCACATTATTATGTTGCAGAGGACGTTTAGGCCGAGACATGCCTGCGATATATTTTTAGTACAGAATAGAATATAGTTAGAAGGTAACATACACCTCGAGTAAGCATTTCGATCACGGGTGATGAGTCTAGACCGAAGAGGTGGGCGAGGGATTGGGCGAATGCCGTTGTGTGGTCGTCCGTGGTTCTGTGGAACCAATGTTAACGTTACACCGTTTGATGTTTATATATATCTTATATAGATATATACCTAGGTAGGTATAGATATAGATATAAATGTTCAGACGTACAATTTCGCAAAAACACCGTTCAATGCAGCAAATGCGCCGCTCGTGATGGCGAGGATGATCCAGGGGGATGTAGAGGAGGGAGAGGTCGATTGGGGTGTTGAGGTGGACATAGCTGCGGGCGAGATATAATTATATATCCTGTAGTATTTTATGTCCTTCTTTATATGCCTGAAGGCTATATCCAAGTAGCGTAGGACTCAAGGGCTCGATGTTTTAAAGTGACGTTGAAGGAGTTCGCATGCCAAGACTGATAGTGATCGCGATAAGCTGATATGGATGATCGACGCGAAACACATCTTTGGGCATAGCTCGAACAGTTGAATTGAAAAACAAAATATACCAGTAGATATGCTAATCTATATCTATCATCTACGGCGACAGTCTCTGGACCCGCCACCTAGTACCCTCACCTTCAACACGCACATACCGGAATCGATCATGCAAACGACTCCGACGACCCTGCCAGAACTCCACAGACTCCGGCACAAGCCTAACACCACCCCAAAAGGGCGGCAGGGGAATATCATCAACTCCCTTAAATCTCTCCTCCATCTCCTTAACCTTCGACTCCAGTAACGCACGTCCATCCTCATCATCCGTCAGATCAATATCAGCCGGCACAACCGAAGCCCCCTCAAACGCCCCCTGCAACATTGCCACACTCTTCCTCCGCTGATTCTCCTCCATCTGCTCCGGCTCCGCAGACCACAAAACCCGGCTCTGCCAACTCGCCCATCCACCAATCCGACTCCCCCGCTCCCGCGTCCGCCAATACATCTCGCTCTCCTCCCGACTAAGCGGCTCAAGCAACCCCTCAATACGAACCTGTCGTTCAACACTCGCCCAGCTAAACGTCAGTGCGCCCCATTTATTGCCAGTCCCAATCTCAGAGGTAATGGTAGTTGGTTCTGGCATGGCGCCGAGTGTATCGGCGTCGTCGCCCAGGCCGAAGACCTGTCCGCCTTTGCCTTCCCGACTACCCCAGTTACTGTAGACGACCCAGCCGCGCTCATCAAGTTCTTTGAGGTATACGATGCGTGCGCTGACGCGGCCGGAGGGCATGGATGCTGTTGATAGGGTACATGTTTCTGGGGCGGAGGAGGCGGGGAGACGCGGGTCCCGGAACCAGGTGTTGAATTGGTGCAGTGGGTTTGTGCCGTGGATTTGGGAGATTGTTAAGGGTGGATTTGTGCCGAATTGGTGTGCTCGTGCGGCATGCGAGAGCACTTCGGTTTCCGTTGTGGAGTTTGGGGTGGAGGCTGCGGTGCGGAGAGCTTCTGCAATCTGATTTGCTGCAGCGGGGGCTGCTGGGGGTTGGGGTTCTGGAGTGGCCTCATTCGAGGTTGGTGCAATATCGCCTGGTGCGACTTTGGGGGTTGGAGTGTTAGCTTGAGGTTTGTATAGGTGAGGGGTTGAGTTGATCTTTGTGTAGAGGGAATGGCTTATCAGGTAGGCTTACATATTAGCTTCTTCGGACGCCGGTGGGCATCCGTCTGTTCGTGATCCATCGGTTTGTGGTTGGGTTGGTTGGAGGAATATCGAAGTTGGCGGGGTTGGGGAATGGTGCGGAGGAATGACTCAACGGCTGAACGGGAAGAGAAGAGTAAACGAGTCTGCATGAAAACGAATAAGTGTAATACCTCAATTGCCAACCCTAGCGATAGTTGCAGAAGTAAAAATCATGGAATCTATAAGTTGCGTAGGAAATCCTTCGGTTAGTTTCAGCGGAAACTTCCGACGTCATGCCATGGAGAATAATATATAAGAGATTACCTAGAGAAGGATATAATTGACTCATTCACTTTTTTTCATTTAATTTTTGCGTCTATGACGCGGTGGGAGAGTTGAGATGTGCCTATAGACAGAACAGAAATGACAATGGTATACAGTGCTTCAATGCACGCCCTTTTTGATCACCGAAATAAACGCCGAACCTTCGCTGTATGCAAAAAAAAAAAGAAAGAAAGAAAGAAAGAAAGAAAGAAATAACAGATATCCCAGGTAAATCCAACTGCCGCCCTGCAGACGCCGAACCGGAAATATCCCAACACAGGGATCCAGCCCTGGCAGGGAGATTGTAGGGGTGCAACATAAACATTAAATGGGTATCACCTGGTCACAAATATAGGCAGATAATTTAGGCGGAAGCTCCACCGATGAGATCAACGATCTTTCCAGCCACCGCAGAAGGGTATCCGCGCGACATCATCTCCTGGACGATGGTGGCAGCACTGGTGCGATCGTCGGCGCTCAGGAACGCACGAGTCATCGCTTCGTAGGTGCTAGGCTCTCGCTTTTGAATGCCGATGCTATCGTAAATGGCCTTGGCCTTGGACACGTTACCCTCGGCAGCCCAGCCGTGAATCAGCGTGTTGGCAATGTAGGCGGTCATCTCGATCTTGCGTGCGAACATGTTCTGGACAACTTCCTCGGTGTCGGCGACGCGGTGGTTGGCGACCATGGACTCGAAGAGGGCTTGGTAGAGGCATGGCTGAAGGCGTACACCGCGGTCAGAGACGACCGTATCGAAGACTTTGCGCGCGCCAGCGAGGTCGTGCAGGACGCAGCCCTTAGCATGAACTAGGGAGGCGTAGTGCACAGCATCCGGGTGGTGGCCAGCGGCCTTCATGGATTCCAGCACGGCTTCGGCGGCGGCCATGTTCACTGGCTCCAGGGAGGCGTGTGCGTCAATGAGAAGCTTGTAGGTGTGGAGGGTGGGCTGGATATTGCGTGTCTGCATGCGCTCGTAGTAGGCCAGGACTTTGCTGATGTCGCGCTTGGTATTGAGGAAGTACTGGATCATGGAGTTGTAGGGAGCGGGTCGGGGCTTGTAGTTGGGCATGGACTCCATCTCTTCGAACATCTCTTCAGCAAAGCGCTCGTCGCTCACACGGCAAAGAGCATTCACAATGGTTCCGTAGGTAACACTTGTCGGGCGCACGTTGTTGCCACGCATTTCAGCGAAGTATGCAAGGCAGTCGTCGATACGGCGGGCCTTACCCAGCTTGCCGATCAGCGCGTTGTACAGGAAGGAAGTGGGCTCGACGCCTTCGGCGACAGCACGGTGGAAGATCTTAAGAGCTTCAGTGGCCTCGTCGAAAGTCTTGGTAGACTCCTTGAGGGTAGTGATGTACAAGCCGAAAGTGTTCGCCGAAGGTGCAGAACCGAGGGTGAGAAGCTCTTGGTGGTACTGAGCAGCCAACTTACGGTCGCCAAGGGTGAGGCAAGCAGCAACCATGGCATCAAGAATGGAGACCCAGCCGTATTTGACAACGCTAAAGTTCATATCGAGGGGAACATCGGTGCGTGCCATGTTGTGAATGTCGTGAGCCAGGGTCATGCGGCCAGCCTTGGCCGCGGCGGTAATCAACTTAGCATAGGTAATGTAGCGCGGGTGACGACCAATGCGACGCATGTTGTTCAGGCGGGTGAGAGCATCATTAAGGTGAGTCTCGGCGCGCCCGCTAGTCTTCTCAAGCTCCTCCGCAATGATGGCGGATCCGCGGAAGTCTGTCGCGTGAGCATAAGGATCAAACGATTCAGGAGCTGCAGACGGAGTGGTGATCGAGGTCTCCGCCATAGAGACAGGGCTTTGACGATCAGACGAAAGGAACATTTGAGAAGGCGAGACGGAGGCCTGGGAACTCGCTTCCAAATGATCTTGCCACTTCTTGACGACATCAGGGCGACTAACAAAGAGTTTGCCAACAGCTTGGTCAACGAGGCCAGTGGTATAAAGGTCAAGAGGGAGGGAAGAAGACAGAGCGACGTCAAGCATGTGTGCAAATCGAACGGGATGAGCGACGTCGAACAGCATAGAGCCACTGCTGACCAGCATGCCAGCCTGGACTTGGAGCGCCAGGGTGAGATCGGCAGCCTTGAGCTGCGAGATACCGATAGGGCCAAGGTTGGCGACAGCATGCTCAGCTAGAGGAGACACTAGGCCACCGTTCTCTAGCATGGACCACAACAGTGTCATGGATGACTGAGGGGAGAGAACCACGGCCGACTGCATAAGGACGCGACCAAAGAGATGGAGTGACTCGGTAATCTGTTCTCTGACGGGGTTGGCGACGGCAGCTTGTTGAACTTGGGTAGCGGTGCGGATACGCTTGAACATGTTACGGGCCTGGTGAAGACCTTCCTCAACATTTCCACTCTTGAGCAGAGCGACCGCATACATAGCGGTCGGCTGGACCAGATCCGGGGTTGCCTGACCCACTGTGTTCAGCATGATCCACAATGAGCGAGCAGCGGAAACATTGCCCCGGCGGACTTGAAGGGCCATTAGTGAAATGGCTGGGTTCTGTCGTACGTCAGGTGCGGTGGGCAGACTATCATAAGCTTCAGAAGCGGTGGGGAGATCACCCGCATCGGCCGCAGCAATACAGATGCGAGAGATGGCCTGATTCCGAGCTTCATCATGCAATTGATTCTTGGCCTGTTCCAATGCCTTGCTGTGCTCTCCCATGTTGATCGAGTGTTGCACAAATGCATCCTCGACAATCACATCTTCCACTGCAGACCATCGGTCCTGGCGACCTTCGGTTACCTCGTCGAATGAAGAACGAATCCGATCAAGGAACTGCATGGCACCCTCCTCTTTACCACAGGATAGGTATGCACGGATCAAAGCAGCATAAACCTGGCCGTCCTGGCGCTGAACGATACTAAAGACGCCGCTGTCATCGGAAACAGCAAGCCCTCGGTACTCGTTATAACATTCAACAGCACTCCTGAGATCACCAGTGGAAGCAAATGCGGTGATCATGGATGGGAAGATAGTGGCATGCGGAGTCACCTTCTGTGATTCCATATGGGCGTAAATTCGGATCATATCCTCCACCTTACCTTCCTTGGCACAGGCAATGATAAGGTGACGGTACATCTCGAGCGGGAACACAAGTCTGCTGTGTCGGGTCGTGGCGGTATCAAAGAGCTTGACAGCGATAGACAGAGAAGTATCCTCGGCGAGAAGGTCCCGCTCTAGTTCACTTGACTGAAGCATGAACTTGCCAGGCTCTTCCATACCACCAAATCGAACGCGTTCCTGCTCCAATGCCTCCTTGGCCTTGATGATGTCGTGAGCGCGGGTGACGAGAAGCTCAACAAGAGTCTCATAAGTGGCTTCATCGGGAATTACCCTTCGACGAAGCATGTCAGAATAGACATCGAGGGCCTTGGGAATGGCCTGGGATACATCAGGGTGAAGACGGATGGCGGCGACCAGCAAGACATTATATGCCTCGACAGTCGGAGTGTATCCCTCTCGGAGCAGGGTTTCGAACGCAGCAGGAATTTCTGCAAATTTGTTGGAGTTGGCCAGTCGCACAATGCGATCCGAAGCAATCTGGTTGGCCTCAGACACGGCTTCCGAAACGGCATCCTCAGTAGCAGGTTCAACACTAGGTTCTGCTCCCAGCGCAGCCTCCTCGGCCTGTGCCTGTTCCTCCTGGATCTGAATTTCACGGGCCACAGCCTCCTCCACTTGGGCACTAACATCCTCGTTCACAGCAGCCTTCGTGGGATGAGGGGGAACTACATCAGACGCAGAGCGGTCTTCATGAACGTTGTCAGCCTCTTCCGCCGACGGCTTCCAGCCAATACGGCGCTTGAATTCGAATTGGGTCCAATCGCTGTCATCCCCGGTCTGCTGGGCGTTCTGCCATGCGGCATAATAGGCCGCTAGACCGAGATCTCCATTTCCAGATCCTCCCTGACTGGCCTTGGCGCCAGCGCCGGACGAACTGGATGGATTGGCGAAAGCATTCTGTAATTGGGTTGTGCGGGAGAATTTGGCGGGTTGGGCGAGCGCGTTAAAGGGGGTGGTGGACGCGTACGACTGCGACGCAGCGACTACGGATTGAGCATAGCCATGAGTAAAGGCTTTGGTGAAACTCTGGCGCGCGAGGTGGGTAAATGGCTTGAAAACCATTTATCTAATGGGCAACCTCTTCAGAGCAAAGAGGCAATGCTGGAAAACAAGTTAGCGAGTGTATTTCATTTTCACGTGCTCTGTTTTTTTTTTCTTACCTTGCACTCAAGATAATAGCGAAAGTGCAGGTTCATTTGACGACAAGTTGTCGCCAATGAACGCGCAAATGCAAGATTAAGATAATAATATTGAAAAGGAGGTTGAGGTCAAAAAAAATGTATGAGAGAGAGAGAGAATAATGACGGTAGCCTTGGGAAAAAAATAGAAGGGGGGGCTAAGTATGTAATACGGCTACTTCTGGAAAGAGATGGAGTTTCACAGTGGACCAGCCTGGTTAGGGCCGATCTTCTCCGGAGAATCTTACATTTTGATGTTAACTCCGCCTCATTCCTCTCAGATTATCGTCTTTTATATGTATCGAGGTACATAGGCGCATTGTATTTATCCTATCAGATCCTCCCTGCAGTTCGGGGATTTCCCATTCTACTCATCTTGAAGATACATCGAGAACAAGTATCCAATACTTCTCAGCCACCTGACCTGTCTGACATTTTAAAACTCAATAACGAAAGAAGTCAAGACCAATCAACATTAAGATATCTCATTGAAACCTTGGAAAAAGGGGGAAGTTCCTGGTGAGTCACTTTTTCTTCCGGTTCTTTTTCTTCGGCCCTTTCGGTCTCCCGACTGGCCGACTCGGATTTAACGGCAGAATAAAGGCGGTTAAGATCTGTGCACTGTGTACTGTGTTATCCCTGCGAAATTTTTCTTTTTCTTTTCTTTACGGAGTCTGTACTCCGTACTCCGTACTCTTCCGTCATAGCGGGTTTATGGTTTATGATCTTTTTTTTTTTATAGATTGGCTCCTTGTTTGGGTCTGAAAATATCCAAAATCGGACTTCTTCGAGTTCTCTCACACGTATCTCGCAGTGATCGAGTACCTACCATACCCACTACGAATAAGACCCGGGTCTTCACTGTGGCTTGGACGATGCCCGGTTCCTAATGGGGTATTCCTTGGGGTAACACTAGTCGTGGTAGACCGATTTTGGGTGATTTTCAGGCTCAAACGATAAGCTAATCTACCTGGATTTCATGTCTTGGGCACGTCACACTCCCGAGGTCCTTCCAAAGACCGAAAGAAGGCATTGTGTCGCGAAAAATGTGATGAACCAAGACCTTGCTTTTTTTGTCAAGTAGTATCATTGATGCTTATGAATAAGAGGTGCTTGGTTATGAAGGTTGACGGCTGTTCCTGCTTGGGCAACAACGGCTCTCTAGGCCACCCTCACTCGAATATAATTATCATAGACATCAATCCTATTCTACGCTCTAGAACTAGACAGATGAATATAACAGATGAAAATAAATAAAATGTTAAAAATAGAAAACCCATCCCCCGGAGACGGCATGCCAAAATAATGCCCATCCCCAATCTTCCCCACGAAACGACGAAATATATAACATTTCAATCGGTTGCCTTCTAGTTCTACTCAGCATCAAGTACACAATGTCTCAATTTCAAAACCAGTAAATATTGGCTGGCAATTGCATAACATGGGACCAAATGTACAAGACCCAATAGACTAATAGATGAAACAGGGACCATGCAAAACGAACATCAACACCATCCCTAGGACCAAACAATATGGGAAGAACATTCTTTCAGACCATATCAATGAACACATTTCATAACAGCTTCTAGAAGTACCACCAGACTCCTCAATCGCTGTTCCGCTGCGCTCAGCCACTCTTCTGCTTATTGGTGAATGCTTTGCCCAGATTGGCATCAGAATACGCGCGCAAGGCGATCGCCAGCAGAATGCCGCCAATGTTCTCCAATTCACCCCTATCCATTGTATTCCAAGGTCCGAATTCGTGCATTTTGAGAAACGGACGTGGCGACTTGGGAGGGAGTGTATTGTTAAGATATTGAATGTATCTGCTGTCATACTCCGCAAAGGTGATGAATATCTGATGACGGTCCTGCGATACGTGAAGACGACTGAGAACTGTAAGTGACACATCCAGATATTGAAGTTGAGTAGATTTAGGACAACACAATCAAGATTACAAATGGGGAGGCTTAAGATATACTCAATAGGATAAGAAGAATGTAGGCGACTTACCGACCCGGGAGGTTCAAAACGCCAGTGGAATCAGAGTCTGATTTTATCCATGCAACCATCTGTGCAGACTCTTGCATACGAATTGGATTCTTCTTCTTTGCCCTCAACATTGGCTTCACTTCAATCAACGCCCGTACCCTGTTTGAGGACCCTCCGTCCTCGAGATACCAGGCTAAGTTCTTGGCCGCTTCCTGAGGTCCAGAGAACCTGCAACAGCAAGTATTGCTTCTCGTTGATGGTGGATGCAGAAGTGAGAGTGGCATCATGGATGGTCGAATTGGAGACATCGTGCCGATCTGCCCAGACATTCCATTTTTTTTCGTCCCCAGGGAGGTCTGTATTAAGGGAGGCTTTTGTTGCCATGGTGGTTCGTGGAGTAGATTTTCGGTATCCAGCCAGAGAACAGAGGAAGCACCGGACTCTTTATCAAGCACGAAGTAGATGTCCCTAGATTACCTAGCCGCTGTCGGGACGGGGTGTATAATGAACGCTACACGTCTGCGGGATTATAGAAAGCGCTACTCTCATCCTCATGATTGGTTCACCCAGAGTTGAGGTAGGGTGAACTCAGCCTTGAACTCCTCTTCGCCAATCAATGAATAAAGAAATAGGACCTAAGCATACAATTAGATATCCCTATGTCACCTAGCCCTATCAGGACGACATGTGGCAAAGGCCACCCATCGGTGGGATTATAGGAAGCGCTAACTTCATCCTCTTGATTGGTCTACCTAGTGTTGCCGCTAAATTAAATCAGCCTCATGGAGACGACGGACTCCTCTTTACCAATCAATAGATAAAGAAATGTGATTCAAGCATGCAGCAGATATCCCTAGGGCACCTAACCCCCATTAGGACGAGACATACGATAGAGGTGGCCGGAGTTTAGCAAGCGCTAATATTATCCTCTTGGTTGGTTCACCTAGGGTTGCCGCTGGGTGGAATCAATCTTGAAACATGGCGGACTCCTCTTCGTCAATCAATAGATTAAAAAATGTGACTCAAGCGTGCGGCAGGTATCACCTACCTCCTCCCCTATTGGGACGAGACATGGGATGAAGGCCATATATCGGCGGGGTTTAGCAAGCGCTAATCACATCCCCTTAGTTGATTCATCAATTTTTGCCGCTGGGTGAAAGTAGCCTGGGGACCTAGCGTACTCGTCTCCGCCAACTAATAGATAGGAATGAGATCCAAATGTGATGAGGCGCATTGAGTTTCATCTTACCGACTAGGCCGGACGAGGCGAGCAATCACAGGGTAGAAATAGCCAACTTATATAGTTGGGATATACTAAAATAGTAGCACAACAGTATAATTCATCTCTCTTTACGGTGTAGTCAGTTAATATTAGGTGACGGCGGCAAGCTGAGGGGAAGCTCGGCGTTGCCAAGCAACCGTTGTTTCCTTATATATCAGGCTTCGAATCCCGCCCTTGCCGCCTTCATTCAGACAAGAAAAGCGACTCGCATCTCGTCTTTGATCCAGCTATCAACCTTGCTACTCGTTTCATTCTCATCTTTTTTTTTTGCTCATAAACTAAGCAAGGATGCACCTCATCTGTTCTCATCAAAATCGAAATGGGGGACGTCCTCAAACTAAAGCGGGCTGCTCGTTGCCACACGTTGGCTAAGATTGAGAACTTGATCAAGCAAACCCCAAATCAGCATGTTGAATCCCGTGACCTGAAGGCAGCTGGTATCCGCCAACTTCACTTGTCCCTTCAAGGGGATACCCAACATCATGCACGCTTCTTCAAGCCATACCAAGAAAAACTACCTCTTCCGCGGAAGGAGGAGGAGGACAAGCTGCTAGAATTCGAGCCTGACCCAGATCACATCATGTGGGATACTCGCGATTTGAAGCTCTTTCTCACCCACCACTTCTATGGGAGCTTGAGATATGCATGGCGGGAGTACCCACATAACCCTCCGCCCTCTGGGGAATATCGAGAGTACGTTACCACTTACACCTATCTTATCTTTTGGAATCAGCCTATTGACTTTCCATGACAGAATTGGAGATTACAAATTTGGCCAACTGCTGGAGTGTGTAGATTTCAACTGGTATGCTGTGTCAGTAACCGATTATCCGAAGGGAACCTATCCACACTTCAAGGTTATCGTGGAAAGTGAAGTGAATGGGGATGATCGACTGCTTCGCGGAGAAATCATGATCATCACCGATATCATGACCGCTCGCCTAAAGACCGATGTGCTAAATCAGCATATTGTTGCCCCGGTAGGACCTTTCATAGTGGATACAAAATGGTCTACTAACCTTGCTCTAGATACTGGTACTGTCTCTCATGGGTCCTCGTCATGCTCGCGTCCTGGAGGCTGATCTTGACGGAGAGATTCTTAACGTACGCGCTTCCAAGCTGTATGATTTCACGCAAAAGAACAGTGATGCTGTGCAATTGCTGACGCGGTATTGGCTTGGTGATGCATGCGGGCAGACTATGATGAAAACTTAGTTCGTGATTTTTTGGGTTGGATACTGAAGTATGGTCTTGTCTGGTAATTTGAAATGCGGCTCTTTTGATGTATGATAATGAAATTGCAATGGATAAGCGTTGTTCCAGGGACGTCTACAATCTCTATGGAGATTGGATGTGGTATTTCACATATGATATTCTCCAAATCATCAGGAACACAATACTCAAGTTTGATTAATCATTTTGATAGCTGTAAAGAGTGGTTTAATTCAGCCTATTAGTACTCCATACAATGTACTTTGTTGACGCCCCACTAGCCCTGGAGACTAGCTCAGATGACGTGAGAATATCCGATAGTGTTATGAAGTATTATGTAGTATAAATTTATTACCTATTTACCCCCCTGAATGTATTCTACATATTCTAAGACCCCTAAACTTTTCATACATATTTCGGAGAGTATATAGGAGTATAATACTCGATTGGGACTTCACGTGATCTCGGAAATACGGGTGGAGGTGAATTTTATCCCGGACGATCCATGTGGGTCTCCGATATAAAGTCCCTCAGACCTTGTTCAATCACATTCGATTTCTACTTTAGTTTCTATTAGAAATCAAAAAAAAAAAGGCTGGAGTATTTGAAGTTGAATATTTATGTTGTATACTCGGAAGAAAATCCGGATATTCAATATAGACTATCTAATAAGAATATAAGAAGTCTTGTGGACACCGTGCGATGTACTTTTATATATACATATCACACATTCCATACTCATATACAACATACATACAACATATAGAATACTGTATTCACGCTATAGCAGTGGGCCTAGATCGTCGTTCCCATGACGATACTCATTTCCTTTTCAACCCGTGTCATCTGTATCTGAACATATCGTGGCGTCCGTACAACGGCCTTCTAACTCCGCCACAGCTAGATATCGGAATTCGGAGATAGAACGGAAAGTCCCAAAGAGGGATGGCAAAAAGTGAAGCAATTGGAAAGTATGGTTCTATGGTTATCCGAATGAAGAATTTCATTGTTCGGGTCTCTGCCGTCTTAAACGGATCAACCCATTTATTATTGCCGGGATAACCGGTAAGAGCTTCCATGTCTGGTGACGAAATCCACTATGTGGCTACTGACCATACAGCTGATTTGACAAATGATTTTTTCATCTGATCCTGTAGAGAAGGATTGAGTCAAATCCGTATTGCTTATAAATTGCGCCAGATCCCCTTCAGGGTTGTGGCCGCTGGTTACTCCACATACCTTCCTCTAACAATACCTAATACATACCTCTTTTATATTAATAACAGCTTGTACAAAGCTCTTTCATCATGACACAAACACTCTTGGAGACACCACTCCATCCTGGGCGCAGCGAACGAGGCTCAGAGAGTGATAGCTCGCTTGACGAGATCGCGCAAGAGAAGCAGAACGCACTATTGGCAACACTCGGTCATCGTGGAAAGGACCTTGACAATTCGGCATCCCCGAAGCGATGGAAGAGTTTCTGGTCGGCATTCCGACATTTGGCACACTTGACCCCGAAACAAGTTGACGATTTCATGGCGTCATACGTCATCTATAACCTTGACTGGTCCGACGAAAAACAAATGACCGAGTGTCTGGGACCCAACTACAAAGAAAAAGTCGGCGATTGTTTGAGGTCCTATTACGGAGTCCTAAACCACCTGTGCGCACTGGGCGATGTCGAAAAAATGTACATCCCACCATGGATGAGCCCCAAGTCCAGCGTGCTAGAGAACCAGATCCTCTACGAGCGCTCAATCGCACGGGATATTGGCCTGGGGGCGGGGAAGAAGGTGCTGGATCTAGGCTGCGGTCGCGGCCGCGTTGCCGCCCACATGGCGCAATACACCGGCGCCCACGTTACGGGCCTCAATATCGACCCGAACCAGGTTGAGCAGGCGACAAGCTTCAACCGGGAGCGCGGGCTTCAGAATAACTTTGTCACGCAAGATTTCAACGACCTTCCCTTACCCTTCGCCGACGAGAGCTTCGACGCATTCTACCAAATCCAAGCACTGAGTTTGTGCAAGGATCTACCCGCCTTGTTCCGCGAGATCTTCCGTGTTGTCAGGCCAGGTTCGAAGATCTCCCTGTTAGATTGGATTAGCCTGCCGGATTACGACGCTAGTAATCCGGAACACGCGGAACTCATGCGCCGCGTCAAGCCGCTCATCGGTGCTGTCGGTACTCCTACGCAGGAGAGTCTCGAGTCGGCGTTGAAAGAGGCTGGGTTTGAGATTGTCCGGTCGGAGAACGCTAGTATCGATGGTCTTCAGGCCCCGCTTATCGATACCGTCGATGTATACTTCCGCACTTTACGCCAGGCGATCCTTGCACTCGTCAAGGTGCATGTGCTGCCACGACACTTCAAGACCTTGATTAACCGTCTTTGTTTGGATGGTCAGGCTTTTGTTAAGATGGATCGTATGCGCCTTGCTACGACGAGTTACAGTATCATTGCGCAGAAGCCCAAGGCTTAGGCTTGCAGGATCAGTACTCGACACGTGAAGTAGTTGGGGGTGAACCTCGGAAGCTGAATCATTTTTTGATACCAGCATTTACAATGATGAGTTGGAGCAATGTATATATATATCACCCGCTTCCACCCCAACACCGTTATCGCCCTCACGAATTGGACATGCCGACAAAATTTTAATCAACTAGAACGCTGTGTGATTTGAATATCGGAGGAGTTTCGGTGATTTATTACATTTTATTTTAGATGGGTTTACTGAGCAAAAGGAGTTCATGAAGGGAACATCTACATCTGATATTTCACAATATATACTGCATCCAATATTGTAACCTAGTTATCAACAATAAATACCAAAATAAATACCTTACTACAAGCATTGAATCATGGTTCAAAAAAAAAAAAAGAAAAAAAAAAAGAAAAAAAGAAGAGGTCGTGCCCGGGATCGAACCGGGATCGGTGGAATCAGAATCCACAGTGATAACCATTACACTACACAACCAATTTGATGTAAAGAGCAGTCAATTTTGGCTACAAGAGATTATTCTATACTCCATGGATGTGTACAGTACACTAGTCCCTATTAGGAGAGTTCCATACACCCTTGTATACCATATGCAAATGTTCCAAGTCTCCTTTGAGCTGCATCTGCATGGTAAAGCACATCTTATCTGCACAAATTCCTACCTCTTTCCCCCGTGACCGCGGGGCAATCCCTTAATCTCCAACCCCCTCCGTAGTTCCCGGCTTTTTTTCTTTCCCCACAACAATATCTCCAATCTACCATGTCTCCTTTACCGTCTTCCGTCACGGCGCTATCTGCGCCGGGCAAGGTTCTATTAACAGGTGGTTATCTTGTATTAGACCGCGGCTATACGGGCACTGTGTTTGCGCTCGATGCTCGCATCCATGTTATTGTCCAGCAACTGAGGAGGGGTCACCGCCGCGGGGCATCAGGCTCTGGGCCTACTCCTGGCGTCGAGGCATCTCACTCGGGTGCTGAGGACCAGGATGGGGAAGATACCATTGTTGTGCGTTCCCCGCAGTTCGTCAATGCTGTGTGGGAATATGGTGTGCAGCGATGTGGAAATGGTGGGGGTGTCAAGGTCATCCAGAAAGGAGATGGGTAAGCTCAGCTGTCGCTTTCTCTTTGCTCGAAAATAATTGACTAATATCACCTTCTTTTTAGACCGCGAAATCCCTTTGTCGAGACATCTCTCAGCTATGCATTGACTTATATCAGCTACGTTGCCGATTCTAAGGATTTCGGCTCCCTGTCTGTCACCATCATGGCTGACAGCGACTACTACTCGGAAACCGCTACCTCCAAGGGCCCGGCATCGCAAGCACGTGGTGGGCGCTTTGTCAATTTCGGTGTTCCTCTGTTCGAAGCGCACAAGACAGGATTGGGCTCTTCAGCTGCTCTCGTTACCGCGCTTGTCTCCGCCTTGGTCATTCATCGCACCATGCAGCCGGAGGACCTCGGTGCTGGTCGGGATAAACTCCATAACCTCGCTCAAGCGGCTCACTGTGCAGCCCAGGGTAAGGTTGGATCTGGATTCGACGTTGCTAGCGCGGTCTACGGTTCATGCCTCTACCGACGGTTCTCGCCATCGATCCTGGAATCTCTCGGCGATGTAGGCTCGGCTGGATTCGAGGAGCGCCTGTTCCCTATTGTGGAGGACTCCGACCCCGAGCATCCATGGGATACCGAGTGTGTTGACTTTGGTATGCAGCTCCCCCGCGGGATGCAGCTGGTTCTGTGTGACGTGGATTGTGGTTCCCAAACTCCCTCGATGGTCAAGAAGGTCCTCGAATGGCGGAATAACAACCGCAAGGAAGCGGATATTCTCTGGGCTAGCCTCCAGAATAACAATGAGAGACTGCGCCAAGAGCTCAAGCGCCAGGCTCAACACCCCGATGCCAATCCCGAAGGCGACTTTTCTGAAATTCGCACCCTTATTCAGCGAACTCGCCAGCATATTCGCACATTGACCCGCCGGACGGGCGTCCCCATTGAACCGAGCGTACAGACTGAGCTGTTAGACAGTGTTTCAGAGATTGAAGGTGTTATTGGCGGTGTTGTCCCGGGGGCTGGAGGATACGATGCTATCGCGCTCCTGATCCGGGATGATCCCACTGTAATTGCGCGTCTGAGAGATCATCTTGCGAACTGGACGAGCTCGATCGAGGATGACTTTGGAGGCAAGATCGGCAACGTACGACTGCTAGGCGTGCAGCACGGCTCCGAAGGTGCGAAAAACGAAATGCTGGAGCAATATGCTGGTTGGGTCTAGGTTGCCTGTTTAAAAAGGCAACCGGTGTCCCACACTTATCAACGTGTTTCGACTAGCTTAAGCTCCTCTATTGCATCCTGGGCCGGTCCCTCCAGAAAATATAGGATAATTAACATGAATCACGACTGAAACATCAACTTTATGTTTCCTTTCTCCATCAGTACCCACTCATCTGCGTCTCTATCTTCAGATCCCCCTGCATATGCACAAGTTCCATGCTTGAGAAGGCTTTTTTCCCGATATGTGCGACCGTCTATGATTTCAAAATCGACTGGCTCTCAAGGCAACTCGGGTTGATATTCTCTTATGATATATGAGATATAGAATTTACTTGCATTATCATGTGAAACAGTGAAATAGTTATATTGTAGTCATGAGATCTCCGTGTACAGACATAGAAAGTGAATACAACTCAGATCTTTGGCGTGCCTTTTCCCCAGATCTTCCCTTTTTTTTTATACTAAAAGTACACTAAAAATCCCCTTGACTCAAAAATAGGGGGAATTATTGTGGCTTCAAGTCATAGGCTTGCAGATCCCATTGCCTTCTTTCATTCAACTTTGAATATCATTTTCGGGGTTATATACAGCCATTTCATCCACACTAGTTTGAGGTATTATCCTGCGCCTCCCGCTGACTCCTCACATCTCTTCCATTCCAGTTATCCTTTCCACTTCCCCCCTTTCCTACGGGGTCAATTGTTTGCCATCGGGGCATCTTAAAAAAATGTCTACAACCGATCAAGAGTCGGGGTCAAATAACAAAGATACCAATCAACCCCCAATCACAACATCTCCGCAGGATCAACAGATCACACCAACCACAGAGCTCCGAGCTGAATCAGACCTTGTCGCTGATACGTCCATTTTATCCCATGATCAAACACCCGCGACCCAAATCCACCCCGCAACTGGTCCCGGTGGCGAAAGCAAATCCGCCCCCGTGACAACATCGCCGACCAACCCTTCTCAACCTGTCACCGACAACGCACCCGCGCTGGCACAACCCACTACACCGCCTTCAATGGAGACCGACGAGCCAAAGACTGCCCCCGAGACCTCGACAGAGCATTCTGATGACGGTTCCGGAAAGGAAGTCGAGGATGCTGGCCCATCGCTGGTGATAACCCTGCTGTTGACAACGGGGTCGCGCCATCCGTTTACCATCGATGGAAAATATCTGAAGAAGCGATCGGTGAATGTCGAGAACTTCGATCCGTTCTTGATGAGCGTCTACACGCTGAAGGAGTTGATCTGGCGCGAATGGAGATCTGGTAAGACTTTCACCCCCCCGACTTCTATATGGATATCGGATGGGCAGAACACATCTTGATGCGAGATGCCGCGGAAGGAGAATAGCCAAGCTAACACTGTTGTCGATGTAGATTGGGAGACCCGTCCCTCATCACCGAGCTCGATCCGTCTTATTTCGTTCGGAAAGTTGTTGGATGACAAGTCACCTGTTTCTGGTATGTTTTCTTCATGGTATGGTTGCTATCGTTATAGACTTACATACTAACGAACCTACCAGACTCCAAGTTCAGTAAGGAACATCCAAACGTCGTCCATATGACCGTAAAGCCGCAAGAAGTCGTCGACGAGGAAGATGCAAAGGGAGCCAAGGCACAGTACACTCGGGAGAACGAAGCTAGCGAGCGCAGTCCCGGATGCCGATGCGTGATTCTATAATTTTACTGCCCCAGCTTCGGGCCTCGAGTGTGACGGCCTGCTCCCGGCAATGCTGTTGTCTGCTTCCTTCAACCGTTTTGCCGAACCTTTCTTCGTCCGTCTGCTAACACTTTCACCCTCAATCTGCCTGCCATGGCAGTGATACGCCTAATTCTGCCTGGACGCAGGATCAACATCCCTGTTTTGCCGAGCCAACATGGGCGCTCTGGAAGCGGCGTTTGGACATTTCTTTCTTCTGACTGGATCTCCATCCTAGGACCATGGTTTTCGACTTGTTTCTCTTATTTCTGTGCCATGTTCGGCCCGTCCCCTTGTTCTCTCATCGCTATATCTGCATGCGGGCCTCATCTATTCATGGATCTTTCTCGCCGGAGTGCTTCGTGTCTTCCAAGGGCTTGATCTGAGATTCTTTGCTTTTCGCGCTGTCACCATTATTCTTACTCTTCCCGACTGCCCGATTTCTCGATATATACCCCCTCCAATCCGACTTTCCTTTTCTTTGTGCTCTATCATTTTCCCTCTATGGCTCCTTTCCTCACGGACTTTCGTGTACTTACGACTTTGGCCCTTTCTCTTATGTCCCTCTGTTTGTGTTTCGTTTTGCTTTTTTTTCTAACTGCCCGAGGTGGTTAATCGTAGTGTATAGGGTGTTTTTGGAGAAGGTTCACATCCATGTTCTTTGTCATATATTAAATAACTTTAAAGTGCCTATATATTCCCGCGATTTTGGTTGGAATTGCTAGTCAGGCACTTGGGGTCGACGATCAATTCGGAGTAGCACGCTGTTCATCCATACCGTAGAGACATCTATAATATTGTAGCTAGGGTTCCGCAAGACTGCTTGGTAGAAATAGACCATGGATTGATCCAATATATTGATCGTACCGCACTGCCTGGATAATAGACAGACGTATCGGAAATGCACCAAGTCCAGTGATCCATCATTCTATTTGACGACATAAGGTAGGAGTATGACGAGGGACGTAAGAGGAGAATGATAGACATCGACACAGAAAAGACAAATAAAAGAACACCATATCATCAAAGCCATTAGAAATCCATCTTGAGCCTCTTCTCCATCTCATCATGGAAAGTAGGCGGCTCACGGAGGTCATCACCTAAAAAAGCAACCAGTTAGCCAAACCATATTCAACAAAACACCATATAGGATCGAAAACATACCATGGTAAATATCCTCCCACTGAACCTCACTATCCCGTCCTCCAATAACAAGAATATCCTCATGGATATTCCCACCCCGCACACCGCCAAGCACAGCAGGTCGGAAAGTCCCATCCCGAACAATCTTCAGCTCCATCCCGCGACGGACTGGTTCCGCAATACCGTATGCCCGACGCAGTCCCTCCATCTTCATGGCATCCTGTGTCGCCCGCCATGCGATAAGTCGTGCTTCCAGAGGGTGCGTAGATGACGGCACCTCGCCGCTGGAGTTGGTAGACGACGCGTGCGCGGTGGCAGTCTGCGTGAGCTTGTTGCGGAGTGTATCCGGGAGACCTGGGGCAGAGGGAGCACCTTTAGATGGGCGGGGTGCTTGGAGGCCTGCTTGTTGGCGGGTTGTGAGATTGCTCGTGTGTGTAGCGTTACCGCTTGGGGGGGCGATGCGGAGAGACTGGGGTTTTTTGTTAGTTTTGGTTATTTGGAATAAGAGCTGGAGGTGAATTGAGGGTTGGATTTGGAGAGCGAGGGGTTGGAAATAGTGATGGTGGTTCCAGAATGCTTGCTTATGTGCTGGACTCTAGGGTGAGGTCTCCCGGGTCCGTAGCTTGATAACGTACCATGACGACGGATAATGCTAAGTGATCGGGTTCAAGAGTGGAAATCACAGGTTGGACAAGTCTGTGTCTATTAAAAGCTCGGGAAGGAGATAGAAAAGTAGAAACAAGATTAAAGGGAGGATGCAAGATGAACCACCGATGATGCTTCAGGCAGAGAGAAGCAGCGCGGCCAGCTCCTACGACAGACGAGATAAACCAACAACGCAATTTCACCCAACATCTAATCACGTGCTATCCACTCCGCCGGGCCAACTTAATTCTATCGCGAGATTCTCGACCCAGCGAAAGGAACCAATTCACACTCATCACACCACCAACAATGTCCCAATTACTCTCACCCATAGCCCTCCGGGCCTTACGGACTCTCGTCAACCGCCCTGCGGTTTCATCGCCCCTCTGCCGCACCATCACCACATCACCCGCTATCTCCTTCTCGAAACAATCCCCCATCACCTCCCGCCTCAACTTCCACCCCGTATTCCGCACAGCCGCCCTCGGCCTCTCCGCCGTTCCAAAGCGGCAATTCTCTAGCTCGCCTATCATCCGCGCTACGTACAACCAGGTCCGCCGCGGTATCCGTACCGGACAGCGGGCTCGTCGGGGTGGATCGCCTGCGCTGAAGGGTACGCCTGGTTTGAAGGGTGTTTGTCTTAAGACTGGTGTTACCAAGCCTAAGAAGCCTAACTCTGGCGAGAGGAAGGTTGCAAGAGTGCGGTTGAGTTCCGGGAAGGTTATCACTGCTTATATCCCTGGTGAAGGTAAGATTGGAATTGAATTGGCTCGATTGTATTGGTCTGGTCTTTCTTGCAGGACTTCTGGGCTAATCTCTTGTGCAGGCCACAATATCCAGCAACATAGTGTTGTCCAGGTCCGTGGTGGACGTGCTCAGGATTGTCCTGGTGTGAAGTATACCCTTGTTCGTGGTGCGATGGATTTGGTAAGTCTTTTCTTTTGTTTTCGGAGTATATGTCTTTCTAGATCTTTTACTGATTGGATGCTTCTAGGGTGGTGTTGGAAGCCGTATGACGAGTCGCTCGAAGTACGGTGCGAAGAAGCCGAAGACCAACTAAGATGGATTCGGGATACAGGTTGATTTTTATTGACCTGCTGTGAGATTATACAATTTTGGCTTCTTTTGATCAGCTGCTGTATAAAAGATAGCCTCAATGGGCTACTTGGATTTGGCATTTTTTGCTCTTCGCTGAGCAACGTCTTTCTGTTCAATTTGCATGTAACACTACGGATTGCGACTGTTTATTATCATATTATCTCTTCCGATATTCAATTTGAGTCAATTGTATTGATATCTTTAGAATTTTGAAGGAGGTATAGGAAATGATTCCGGGAATATCACCATCACTTTACTCCGGACCTATGCAAACCCCAAACAAGAAGAAACGCTCGAAAACCCAGTAATACACATGTCAGACATCGCAGTAAAACCTCCCTGGGTAACGCGGCAATGGGAATCAAAATGAAATAGTTGAGAGGTAAACTTGCAAAATTTTGCCCAAGCGTGGTAAAATGGAATAGCATATTGCTCCATCCATGTGTTATACCTACCGTGAGCAGAGCAGCAGGCAAAGTACACGGGGGTTTTACCGAGGTTTTGTAGTTGCCGTGCAAATGGGTGACACTGTCGGCCCCCAGAATGCGTGGCGCTTTGTATCCAGACGAGACAACCGGCCTGCGAATTGTCGCCAATAAGGAAACGACTGGGCCATCCGCGAATAGACCCATAGGAATTAAGCAAGCTAAGCAATTCAGTCGTACTTTTTATCCCATCCGTTCGGTTTCTCCATCTTGTTGATATCGAACCAACGCTTGGTACCTGTATCACGATTAGATTTGTACTCGAGGTATAGATCGGAGGGCCACGGATTATAAACATACAAGAATAATCCTTCCAGTCAAAGTTATCTTTCGGTTGGCAAGAACATCTCAAGTCCAGACGTTTCTTTTCATCCGTGGGGCAATGCGTGAATGGGATATGGTAGTAAGCGATGTCATCCCAGAAGTGGATCTCATCTTTCTTTAACATCATAGAAGCGGCAATGGAGTGAACCGGTGCGTCGCCCCACCGCTCATAGAAGAAACCACCGTCCTTGTCCAGAGACGTAAAATAGTCAATGTATGCGTCGGATCGCAGCCACTCCAAGCTACCAATCTCAAAGTTCGACCACTGGTGGAAGGTTAACGATGTTCAAGTTTAACCCAATTTGAAGTACTTACGAAGTGGCAGTTATTGTAGGTTTCTCCACCGTCATTGCTGATGAATTCCATCGCATTCCCTTCGGCGACATACTCGGGATGACTGCCTGTGAACTTCTTCACACTATCCCACAGGGTAGGAATGGTCGCCACATACTCGTACAAACTGATAACAAAGCTGTACTTCTTGTTGTTCTCCTTCATGAAGCGGAACGGATCAGAGTCGATATCACAGAAGAGCTCAATGCTAGGCTCGACACGCCAGTAGTACTCATAGTTCATCATGAGCGGGTGGCGGAAGAAGAAACCAGACTCGTAGCGGCACATATGGCGGTAGCTCTCTGAACCACCGTAAATGATCTTCTTGCGGTTCATCTCCTGTCGCGCTTCTTTGGCCTTGTCCTGATCAATCCACTCTGGGTACGACCAGTGGTCCTTGGGGATGACGCCATAATGGGTCTTGCCTGAGACCAGTGCGGTGGTCAATTTCTTGAACTCGTCGTCGAACTCGTCGTCATTCAGGAACACCCAATCATAGTTGTAGTTGTGGTTAAACCGGTCTTCGACTGTTCGAATGGACTTGACCATATCCCAAAGGTCGGAGTTGCGCGCGAGGGTGACGAAGGTGGCATTTACCCGTTCGCCATGGTGTGGGCCGATCACTTGCGGTTTTTGTGACTTGACTGAGTCGTATGTGGGTGGGGTCTTGGGTGCAGGAGCGGTTAACCCGCCGGTAGGCATCGGGATGGAGGATTTTGAGACGAAGAAGAAGACCGCCAATGCCTAGTCAACGTTAGCAACGAGTATTCGTAGATATGAAAGAAAGACTCACCACAACGGCAAAGAGTAGATAGCGCGCATATCGAATAGAGACGGACATGATGTGGGGGGAGGAACAAGGATGATTCCCCGTTTAAGTGGCAAGGCAACAACAAATGTTAGACTGGTGTGGTTGAAACCAATCCAGATTAAAAAGTGAGCGACATCAATTAGGATAAGATCGAAGGAAAATGAGAAACCCTCACTGGAAATACCGAAGGATGTTTTATGGGGGAGGAGGAGATTAAAAGGTTGAAAAAGATCAAAGGCCGCGCAAGACAATGACAACCGCTTTCAGCCACTTGGGAGTGTTACCCGACTTGAGACATTCTAGGACTCAGGGGATATTATTAGATACGTAGTGGGTTTGAAAGATAGGCGCTTGACTCTGGAGGCGATGATGTCAATTCCACTTATATCAAAGAGGCAAAGGGGAAAGGATTCTCGTAAAAAGGTCAGTAACTAATATCTCTCACTTGTTGGCTCATTAGTTTATATTCTCATACTATGTATACATTATGTAGGTATAGGGTCATATTGTACCAGGTAATATTCTAATGATCTGAAATTAACTCTATATCATCTTATCTATTGATCTTCTTATTATTATCTTCTTTTTATATCAAAAATAAAAAAAAAGCCCCAAAGCTGCACATCAGAGAGATCGACATGGTGGCTTGGCAAAATAAATCACCGCCTGAGGCATCCGCACTCCAGAACTTCCCGTCCATCGATCGCACCTTTCCTCAACTTCCCCCCCACTAAGTCAATCACCTCCCCCACCTCCTTTCCCATTCCTCATCTAGAGGATGGCTTTCTTTGGTTTTGATACCACCCTACCTAGGGACCGTGATGGTCCAGGGGCCAAAGGGTTCTTTGAGAATCCAGATCCCTTCGCTGATATTGCTCGAGCTAATGCGCTGGGAGATGACGACGTGTGAGCTTATCCATTTTTACCATGCCTTCAAAAGAATGGCATGTACTCATCATTATCTAGGATTGATTTCGAGGATACCTACGATGGTCTCGGTGACCAACTTTCCGACGATCAGGACGAGTTTAACGATGACACGTTTGGCGGAGTTGGCCCCGATAAACCGGTTGGCAGAGACTTTGATTTCTTTGGAAAGACTGCTCAGGTTTCCGATGCCATTGGCGAGGAGCAGGTTCGATTTAGCCTGCAAAATCCCAATGCAGGCCGAGTCGCCCCTCAGCCCGCCCAAGCTCCTGTTCAGCCTACCGCCACCCAGACCACCAAGCGCTCCGGCTATGAGAAGTACTCGGATCCCGGATATATTCCAGATTTGCAAGCCAAGTCTAGTGTCTGGGGTGTCTCGCAAAAGAAACCCGAACCCACTCCCGCTGCTGCGGCCCCGAGCCGGAAAATGATGAGCTTGGAAGAGGTTGAGGCACAGATGCGTTATCATGGCCATACTACCGCGACTCCAGCCGCAGAAGCCTTTCTGCGATCCATGGTGGATCAGCCCCAGTACCCACCTCAGCTCCAGCATCTCCAGAACCTTCCTGATGGGTTCCCTCCGGTGCATCTAGAGCTTCTCCAGGCACAGATGAAACAGGGACACCTACCCCCGCAAATGCCACACCCACCTGGTATGCCAGAGCTTTATGGTGGCCCTGGGCAGATGCCACCGCCACCCGGTGGCCCGTTGCATATGATGCAGAATGCAAGCCTCCCCCCGCAAAACATGCCCCCTCCTGGCCCGCGCCATGGTCTACCCCAGGCCCAGGCCCAGCGCCCCCAGCAACCTCAGCAGCCCCTTCCACACCAACAAGTCCCGCCGCCTAATCGGGTCTCTAACAATGGAATGCCGGTGATCACTAACCCGCAACAACTCATGCATCTCACAGAGGAGCAGCGAAACGCTTACTTGGTGGAGGATGCCAAGCGCGCAAAGCGCAACCACAAAATCTTCCTCCTGTCCCGAGGCAATGGTTTGATGACACCGCAGGATAAGAATTTCATCACCCGTATCCAGTTGCAACAGTTGGTCGCCGCTGCTGGAAATGTTGCAGATTCGGACCCCGAGGCCGTCCTCGCGGAGGACTTCTACTACCAGGTTTACAGCCAGATTCGTGGCGCACCCCGCCAACACCCCCACCAGCCTCTTGGTCACTTCGCCCAGACTTATCTGCTCCAGACAGGCAATCGGCTTGGCGGGCATCGTCGGGGAAATTTCCAGAGTGCCGACAACCATATGCAGCGAATGCAGCAGCAGGTGCAGCGTGCCGTAGAGGCGGCGAAGGCCAAGCCCAAGAACAAGCAACTCATCATCGAGGGTAGCTTGGGCAAGATCTCATTTAGCAATGCCAAGGCACCCAAGCCGATGCTGAATATTAAGCGCCCTGATAGCTCAGAAGGACCTAAGCCTAAGAAGCAATCGGATCTGAGTCTCAGTGACCGCAAGTCGATCCTTACGAATCTCGAAGGTGTTTACAGTGCATTGATGGCAATGGAAGACATGGAGCGCACGATGCCGCCACCCCCCGAGGAAGGCGACGCCGAGGCCATCCAAGAACACATGGAATGGAGACAGAAGCTTCATTCGCTCAACCAGAAGCTGTGGCGTTCATTGAAGGTGATGGAGCCTATTGTGCCCAACTCGACGACACCACACCCCTTTATTGCATTCTTGTCATACCCGAAGGGCAAGAAAGCCATTCCTCGTATTTTCCGTCACATCGACCAGGAGCAGCGTGTTACTATCCTCACCATGATTGTCGTCCACCTAGATAGCCTGGATGTGGTCCGTCTGGCTCAGCCGGTACCAGGAGAGGCCCAGCCATCGCTCGGTGTGCGCGAAGCCATTGACCTGTTCTCACTGGCCGTCATGCCCTGCCTTTTGGGATACGTGAATGAGGCACCATTCAACATCATTATTGGTCTGTTGGGATTGGTCATCAACCAAACCCATGTACAGACAGTCGCTCGCACTAAGGTTGGATTGGGCATTTTGACCATGTTGCTCAGTCGTGCCGAGATTGTCAAGGAGGCTGGTCAGGCTTCCGAGCACGATTGGCAACAGTGGGTTGAGAAGTTCAATGTGTTGTTTGATACATTGGAACTCGGATTGAATGAGATTTTCCCCGGATCGATCAGCTCCGGTGACGATATGTATGTGTGGCAGTTCCTTGCTGCCGTGGGCATTGGCGCTAGTCCCGAACAGCAGCAGCGTCTGGTTATTGCTGTCAAGTGAGTGTTTCCGTTTCAATCTAGTGGAAGATAAACATTGCTAATCAATTTCTTACAGGGACCGCGTCATGGAAACTGTCGGCTACAGCAAGACCCTTCCTGCCGATATGGGCAGTCAGCGCCTCAATAACGTCAACCTTTTCATGCGGGCCATTGGTCTGGATGTTGAGCTGCTTGGTTAAAAGAATAGCCAGTGGGCTTTGATTTTGAGCCTTGGGTATAGACCCTTTGGCATGTTAACCATCCCCGACTTCAGGCTTAGCCCTAAAGTACAGAGCACCCGATAGTCTCATGGACAATGTTGCTGAAATGCAACCAGGGAATCCGGGCCCCCAAATCAGGTTGTATTATTGTACCTGAACCCGGTTTATTTTACTTTTTTTTTCCCCCCCAAATACCAATTTCACTTCGTTTATCAATGAACACAGTAAATACTATTTGCCGAGCATTCCTCGGGAGCGAACTGCCAGAATGCCCCCCCTTGCAGCTGTCTTTGTCCGGCAGTGAAACGATGCTTGCAGGATATGAGTTTCAGGAATAGGAGATTCAAGGGGTTTCCTATTTGCATCTTTGCATATCTTTACCTGTTTTGATATTCAGGGCTGTTTTCACCGCCACGATCGTCATAACAGATAGTATGCACAAAATGTTCCGCAATGGTCTAATACTTCGGAAGAGAACGGAGAAATTTGAGATGAAAGAGATCAATAACTATTCAATTGTAAATAAATAACTATATAAGTTGTTAACTAACTAGTAAATAGATCAAAGGTACAACAAAGGCCGCATCATCACCCACGTGTTGGACAATCCCCCCACATCCAATTTCCCCTTAAAAGCTGCCCCTCGTCCGCTTTCTGTTCACTTTCTCCTCTCCAATACTCTCACATATTCCTCAATTACCTCAAATCACAATGCCTTCCGGTTCTGTTTTGGTTGCTGGGTAAGTTGGCTAAATCTTCCTATTTGGGATTGGAAGACTAATTCCCCGCAAAGTGGCACGGGCTACATTGGCTCGTTCACCACCCTCGCCCTCCTCGAGGCTGGCTACAAGGTCGTCGTTGCTGACAACCTCTACAACTCTTCTCCCGAGGCTCTTAAGCGCGTTGAGCTGATCTGCGGCAAGAAGGCCGAGTTCATCCAGCTCGATGTCACCGAGGAGAACGGCTTCGACAAGGTGTTCGAGGCCCACCCCGACATTGACAGCGTTATTCACTTCGCTGCCCTGAAGGTGTGTATCCAATGAAGAAAGAATAAACCGTATATGATCCAATAGCTAATCCAATTGTCCCAACCTAGGCTGTTGGCGAGTCCGGCGAGAAGCCCCTCGACTACTACATGGTCAACGTCTACGGCACCATTAACCTCCTCCGCTCCATGGTCAAGAACAATGTCACCAACATTGTCTTCTCCAGCTCCGCCACCGTTTACGGCGATGCCACCCGCTTCCCCAACATGATCCCCATCCCCGAGGAGTGCCCTCTGGGACCCACCAACCCCTACGGCAACACCAAGTTCGCTGTTGAGACCGCCATCACTGATGTGATTAACGCCCAGCGCAACAACGCCACCAAGGCCGGCAACGAGGAGGAGGCCAAGAAGTGGAACGGTGCTTTGCTCCGCTACTTCAACCCCGCCGGTGCCCACCCCAGTGGTATCATGGGTGAGGACCCCCAGGGTGTCCCCTACAACCTGCTCCCTCTGCTTGCCCAGGTTGCTACCGGCAAGCGCGAGAAGCTGATGGTTTTCGGTGATGGTATGCAATGGCCCCCTTCTTCCCAATTCCCAGAATTCCCAAGCTAACAAACCATAGATTACGCTTCCCACGACGGAACCGCCATCCGCGATTACATTCACATCCTGGATCTCGCAGACGGTCACCTCAAGGCCCTGAACTACCTGCGTGCCAACAACCCCGGTGTGCGCGCCTGGAACTTGGGTACCGGCAAGGGTAGCACCGTCTACGAGATGATCCGCGCCTTCTCCGCCGCCGTCGGAAAGGACCAGCCTTACGAGGTTGCTCCCCGTCGCGCTGGCGATGTCCTCAACCTCACTGCCAACCCTACCCGTGCCAACACCGAGCTCGGCTGGAAGGCTGAGCGTACCCTCGAGCAGGCCTGCGAGGATCTCTGGCGCTGGACCAAGAACAACCCCCAGGGTTACCGCCAGCAGCCCCCTGCTGAGCTGCTCGCTCAGCTTAAGAAGTAAATTTACTTCGCTGATGTGCTAGCGTGTTGGTTTAAAATGGTCTTGGGTTTGTTGATATAGAAGACCTCGATCTAGTTGGTAGAATACATGAAACGAATTTCCTTTTTTTGTGATGCTTTTGGTCTATAAATTTGAGCTTGTTCTTTTATCACAATAGAAGGTAGCCCTCTCAACTCCATCTATATATCGTACCATATCATACCTAAACAGGTATGTTTTCACTTATTTCTGACCCTTCCGACTCCTCCTCGACCCATCAGCCTTCCCCTTCTTCGAAGTCGCCTCCCTCTCCTTCTTCACCTTCTCAGCCTCAGCCTTCTGCTTCTCAGCCTCAAGTGCCTTCTTCTCCAAAGCCCTCAGAACAGCACTCTCCTTCTCCGCCTCCTCAACCATCTTCCCACTAAACTCCCAAAGCTTCTTCCCAACCTCATCATTCCGCACATCAGTGCGAGCATAATCCACCTCCCGACACTCTTTAATCAACCACCCACCCGCACCCCGTCCATACTGCTGCTCCATCGCCGCATACAGAATACTCTGCGCACCCTGCACAGGCGACTTAAACAGCAACCACCAAATAGGCCAGGTAATCAAATACAACGCAAGACCCCACAATGACCCACCAGTCAACCACCGCCGCGTCCCTGGAGTCCGCGTCAACCCAGGATCAACAACAATAACCCGCGTACACGGCGGCAGACTATCAGGTCTCTCGTAAGCATTCAAATGACGCTGGAACGAGTGCGCGAAGATAGTCAATGCAAGCTTGCTGAGCGCGTACACGCCCTTGGGCTGGGCATATAGCGGCGGTGTGGTCTTCGTGCGCTTCGATACAACCTTCTGCTTCCCACGTGCCACAGATTCAAGATTGCTGAAGTCGCCGCCGATGTAGCTTGCGCACGTTGCGAAGATCACACGTACGTCGCGGTGTGCGGGTTGAGCACGTAGTGCCGGACTGAGGATGCTGAGGAGGTGGAAGTTTGCGAGATAGTTCGTTTGCCATTCGACGTCAATGCCATCAATTGTTAGAGGACGGGGTCCGGAGGGCTCGGCTGTTCCGCCGGCGAGGATTATACAGTCTAGTCGGCGGGGTGGGATATTGTCGATCCATTTTGTTGCGAAGGTGCGGATTGAGTGGAGGGAGGAGAGGTCGACTTGTTCGGCGTGAATTAGATTATTTTTTGTGCTGGTGCGGAGATCGTCGATGTATTCTGAGAGGTAGAGGTCCGAGGGTGGTTGGCGGGTTAGGAGGATTACTTGGGCGCCGCGGGTTGCCAGCTCGCGGACTACTTCTGCGCCTATCCCGGTGGTTCCGCCCTGGTGGTTTTGGTTAGCTTAGTTAATTGAGACGTGGTGTGATGCTGGAGGGGTGTCTTACCGTCACCATTATCACTTTTGATCGCATCATTCGCTCGGAGCCGTTGCGGGCTCCCTCGAAATAGTATTTCAGTGCTGCCAGGGCTAGCACCCATGGTGCTATGCGGAGGAATGTCCAGGCATGCGGGATGGATGAGATGCCATCCCGGAGACCCTGGGCAATGATGGGGATGGGCATATTTAATTGAGTGAAGATGGTAAAGAGAGGACAGCTGTGTCTCCAAGGGATTTCTCCGATGTCGACCTATCTCCGCTTATCTCTTATCGCCACTCTCTTAATTCCGCTCCCCAAACCCTCTTTCTTCTTTCTCTTTACACTTCACAGCTCAACCATCCTCAAACATGGCGTCCGAAGACGAAGACTACTTCCTCCCACCAGAGGCAGTGCGCCCCTTCAGCTCTGGCATCCGCCGAAAACGCGTGCAGTTCGTGCGATCCTCCGATCTAGACACAACAACAGCCCCAACGCCCTCTTCCTCCGGCACCAGCATAGCAGACAAATATCTCTCTATTGTGATGAAGCAGCAATCAAGTACATCACCAAGCACACCAACTCAGCGCGATCTGTCTCCACCTATCGTCCGCACACAGTCCGCGCCCCCAATTCAAGACGCAATCCCGCCTCCACCTACAGTGGCGCCCGCAGCCCCAGAATACTGCGACGTGTGCAAGTTACCTATCCCACCACCAGCCCCAGCAGACGCCACAGGCAAAAAGCCCTTACCGCACGAAGCATCCCTCGCGCATCAAATCTGTCTTGCTCACTCACACCCACCATCGCACCTCGACCGCACGCGCTCAGGTCTCCGATACCTCTCTACATACGGGTGGGATCCTGACAGCAGGCTTGGGCTCGGCGCATCTGGTCGTGAGGGTATACGGGAACCTATCAAACCTCGTGTCAAACATGACACTGCTGGACTGGGGACTGGGATTGATCAAGATGGAGATCCGTTGCCGCCTAGACCGCCACCGGTGAAGGTGCAGAAGCTCAATCCTAAGCAGGTGCAGAAGAAGGCTGCGGAGGATAAGAAGAGGGCAGAGAGGATCAGGAAGGCTTTTTATCAGAATGACGAGGTTTTGAAGTATCTTGGGGATGGGGTTTAGGTAGATTTGTGGATGGTGGAGGGTTGGATACACTCTTTTTATGCTTTTGTTCAATGATACCCCATGTTTGTTATTTTATTATGTGTAGTTTTATGTGGATATCAGTTTCAACTAGAGATACAACATTTGTTTCTGTTTAAGTGCTTGACTTGAAGATTTACCGTGTACAAGATATTGAAACTTGAAACTGGTTCCAGATTCTACCTGGCATAAATTGTAATGCAGTGAACACATCCCCATGAACCGAGCCTTTATCGGACTCATCTTAGGAAAGAAATAAAAAACCGCTGAGAATAGCGCCTTGAATGCTCAGGACCAGACCAGACCAACAGAAAGACAAGGAAAAGAATGGTATCACAAAAGCGCTAGACGGGAATAGCACGTAGGAGGCAGAGTGAAATCAAGAGAAATGGAAATGGGGAAAGCTACTTGAAGAAACGGTATTTCTTCTCCTTCTTTTCCTTCTTCTCCTTATCTTTCTTATCGTGCTTCCCGCTGCCAGATGAGGCAGGGCTGCTTCCACTTCCGTTTGACTTTAGTGACATACCAGCCATCAGCGCCTCTGGCGGAGCTGGGGGGTTGAGGTGTGCTGTTGACACGGGCTTCTTCTGTGGCGCGGGAGCTGGAGCTGGAGGGGCCTCGCGCTCGAAGAGGTGGGCCGGAGCGGTAGGTTTGGGGCGCTCGGATGGGAGGTCGAGTCGACGCCGGTCAACACTAAGGTCGCCTACCTGGCGGAGGAAGAGACCTGGGGTCAGCATGTGCGTTGTGGCAAGGTAGACATCCCGGTTGAATGCCGCCGAGACTTCGCAACAGGCTCGTGACTCGCCGTAGGTGGCACCGCCGGCCATGAAGACAATGATGCGCTGTCGAGGCTGGTCGATGGATCTTGTGCGTGCCCAAGTCGGTTTTGCGCTGCGCAAAGAGGCCTGCTGTGATTGCATCTCTTGGGCAGCCATGGCACCGTCCGTCTCGGTGTGCGGACGTGTGAAGGGGAAGGAAGTTGGGTCTAGATTGCCCTGAATATGGTCTTCCAGCATCTGCTTGATAGCTAGCTCGTACCGACTCAGGGAGAGTTCGTCTGATTCGGGTGGTGGGTTTCGCCGGTTGAAAAGTGGTTGCACTTGTGGTGGTTTTTCATCCTTGAGAGGCTTCTCGACACGAACTCCAAGGAGCTCGAGGTTGGCAATCACCCCGCCGTCTTGTGGTGGGAGTGCAGCGTGCGCCATAAGTTTGCGAATGTCACCACCTAGCAATCCATTACGATACATAATGTATAGAAGTATGAGCCGAAGCCGATCTGGAGGTACGACTGCGTCGTCATCGAGAAGCTGCACGAGCTGCGCTGCTAGGTTCTTTGCCTTTTTGTAGTTCTCATCAAGACCCGTGGCGAAAGACTGCTCGGTGGAGCTCACTTCCAAGAGTTTGCGGCACTGGAAGTAGTTCATACACTCTTGTGCCATGTTGAGATGTAGCGTGTAGGTATCTTTGCCCTTTTGGAATTCTGTCAGACCGCCCAACATATCCTTGATGGTGTTCACATTTGATTTGTCGTTACTACGTCCCAAGTTAGTAGCCCGACTTTAGTACAGGAAATGCCTCCAACTCACTCGTCTGCGAACTGAGGGTTTGCTGCTCGGAATTTGGCAAAGTCCTCACCCAGCTTCCCAAGCACATCTTTCATATGCATATGGCGATAGTCCACCCAGACTCGATCATCCTCGCCAATCTCCATCTCTTTGACCTCCTCATTTCTGGCACCCTTATTTAAAACTGTTTTGTAGGTGACCTTGTCTCCATCTATGACAGGAAGTAGATCGTGGACCATAGCCTGGTAGGTAAATTCGTGAAGGAGAGGCGCGAACAAGTCCATGGAACGATCCACTACAAATAGTACACCTCGGGGGCGGTTTGTTTGGGGCGGGAAGTCACGCTGTTGTTGCGCAAACTGATCCAGTTCATTTTGAATGAAACGCGCTAAGTGAGAGCACATAACTCCGGCCTCGTGAGTCGGAGATCGGGGCCGATAGTACCGAATTACAGGGTACTCGCCCAGGGAAGCGCAAAGAGAGACGACCTTAGTCCAATGTCAGCAAGCTCAATTGGCATAACTTGGAGAATATATGTACCTTCTGGGCCAATTCTTCCAAATGACGCCGAACCAGATTGTTGCAACCAGGGTGGAAGAGTATCGGGAAGCTCCATGGATCCCGGAATGTAATCAACCGCGATTCTCTGGGGTAGAAATTGATGTTCATGATGTGAAAGTCTGCAATACGGTCGCGCGCCATTTGAGATCGGTCAATCCGAGATCGCTGCTGCGGATCGAGGGCTATAAGCTGTGTGAGCGAAATGACGTCGCAAAGGCCTTGGGTTCACCAGCCCACTAACATGAAGTCCACACCAAGAATGCCTTCCTGTATCGGCCCACCTCAAAATCTGCCATAAGACAGTCAACCACGTACGATTCTGGTGACAATATGTACAGCGCATCCATATCAGGATTAGATGGTCGTCGGTGTTCGATCTGCTCGACGTCTGCGGTATGGCATTAGTGAAATTGTTTGGGTCGCAAAGCACAAGATGAGCTCACTGGAAACATTGAGATTGAGAATTTCTTCCTCCTTCACAGCGCCGTAGACCAATTTCTTGCTGTTCTCATCCACCACCAAGACTTTCCACTATTAGGGGGAGGGGTGCCGTCAATATCCGCGGTAGAGGGATTGATTGGAGGGATCGGGCTCACCTCGTGGCCACCGGCATTGCGGATTGTGTTCAGTATAACTATCTCAGAGAGACCAAGGTCAGCTAGGGTTCTTGTAAGAGGTAGTAGGAGGTGGTCACTCACAGTCGCGTTGAATGTTAATTATCGAGGAGCCCATGCTGGGGGGCAGCCCACAACTTTTTGGGGCTTTGGGGTGAACAGAAAAAGAAAGAAAGTGAGTAAAGACAAGCAGATAGTAAAGGAGATTGACTTAAGAAGAGTGAAGATCAAGGGGAAGAGTTAGGTGGCCGTCTGAGGTATATGAAGGGAAGATGGTTTTCCCCACCATTGGAGCTTTAAAGTGGATCGGGTCGATAAGGGAACTTTTTGGTTTCTCCTTGAACTTCTTTGTATTTTCTCTCTTATCCCTCCTTCTTAACACCTTTCTTTGTTCCCGATCCTCTATATAGGATTGGTGATCCCTAGTCATATAGGAATGCAGCCATGGACTGGCGGTAGTCGTTCCCTCTGTGCTTTGCGACCCTTGACTCGTTTCGCTATACGACCATTCACCACATCTTCAATTCTTCAGCGATCGAAAAAGTCCAAACCCGGTATCTCGGATAAAAAATCCGATACAAAAAAAAGCAAAACACTTGTGGGGGCTTCCGTCTCGAGGTCCATCCGACAGGATATCGCAGCCGCACGAGATTTCAACGAACTGGTGGAAGCAACCCTGCGCGATCTATACAACAAGTTGAGTAAATCGGGCGAATCGCTAGAAGGATGGGCTCAATTCGAACGCCAAATAAAAAATGCCTGCAAATCAGATGATAAGAAAGCATCTGCACAATGGGGACCCCTTCGGCAAATCAAGGTAGCGCTGCAAAAGGCCTACCTCGCCTCCGGACTTCAGGGTTTGCGGGAGGAGGTGGAATATATGCAGTATTCGGAAAGTCTCACTGCTAGGTTTTCGTCACCCATTCTGGAAGCACAGGAACAAGTGGCCGATCTTCGATGGCCAGCCGAGTGGTATCCGCGCGCACGATCAATGCAGCGAACAATCCATCTCCATGTTGGGCCGACGAATTCCGGAAAGACCTACCATGCACTGCAGCGGCTAGCGAAAAGCAAGAATGGGTTCTACGCAGGCCCGCTGAGATTGCTCGCGCAAGAAGTATATCATCGTTTCAAGGCAGATGGGGTTCCGTGCAGTCTCGTCACTGGTGACGATGTCAAGTTCCCCGAAGGGGATGAAGTCCCACGTATTACCAGCAATACTGTGGAAATGGTCAGCCTAGGGCAGGAATACGATGTTGGCGTGATCGATGAAATTCAAATGATTGCTAACTCATCAAGAGGATGGGCATGGACTCGAGCTTTCCTTGGTGCTCAGGTAGCCGAACTGCATCTGTGCGGTGAAACCCGCTCAATACCATTGATTCGGGAGTTATGTGCACTCACGGGAGATAATTTGGAGGTCCACCGCTACGAACGTCTGAACGCTCTAGAAGTGATGCCACACAGTTTAAAGGGCAATCTAAATAGCCTTGAGAAAGGTGACTGTATAGTCGTCTTCTCCCGGAAAGGTATACACGCTATGAAGGCCGACATCGAGAAGACCACCGGAAGACGCGCGGCCATTGTTTATGGTGGTTTGCCAGCAGAGATTCGGACCCAACAAGCGAATCTGTTCAATGATCCAGACAATGACTATGACTACCTCGTGGCAAGTGACGCCATTGGCATGGGTCTTAACCTGTGAGTTCTGCTATCCTGATTCTATTTTCGCTTTCATACTAACCCATGATAGGAGCTGCAAGCGTGTTATCTTTGACACCCTCGTCAAACGTGTCCCGACTGGACTTCAACGACTTACTGTTCCCGAGATCAAACAAATTGGTGGGCGTGCTGGTCGCTATCGTCCAGCCAATGCCACGGAAAGCACAAGCGAGGAGCCTAACGTGGGCCTGATCTCCTGTCTCGAAGAGGTTGACCTTCCGTATATTCAGCAGGCTATGAAGTTAGAGCCCCCACCGCTGAGTGCGGCTGGTATCTTCCCACCAGAATCCGTTTTCCGGAAATTCGCTGCCTACTTCCCACCAGGTGTACCTTTCGAATATCTGATCAAGCGGGTCTTGGAAATTGCCAAGGTCAACCCTTTGTTCTTCTTATGTGATCCTTCCAGTCAGTTGGAAAACGCCGAAATTATCGACACTGTGAAAGGACTGCCATTTGAGGACCAATTAAAGTTCATGGTTTCTCCAATGGACCGTAAAAGTTCAGGCTCGCGTGATGT